AAGCATACTAGATTCTAAACATGAAGTGCGATGAAATCGAGAACATGTAAGAAGCTAAGTGATGAAAATCAATGATACAATTTCGAGTTCTTGGGCCATCAAGATACAAGGTCCACACCATGTTGCATAAAAATTGACAATCAGCAGCACCTTCCTCTCTCTTTTCACCAACTCCTGAAGTTCTTGACCTGACAATTTCCTCTGTCAAAACAATAAAGAAAGCAAAAGCACCCAGCAAACAGTGAGGCTCCCACTTGATGTTTTCAAAAGTCATTCATAAAATCTAAATGAAGCAATCTTAATTCCAACCAGATTCTGGGCATAATGTATAGAAGAATATTGTCTACAACCAACTGAATTCCCAAAACTAAAAGGAGAATCGTAAAACAAAATCAAACTTAAAAACTTCGAAATCAATAAGACAACATGGAGAGATGGAGAGAGAGAAGGCGAGAAATCTTGTGAAATTTTCCGTACCAGAAGATAATCTTCTCTAACAAATTTTCCGCGTGGTGGAGGGTAGATAAGCTTTCAAAAAAAAACTTCACATTTCAAGATTCAAGTGAATATAAGGGATTACGAGTTCCAAGAGCATATGTTAGTAAACAATAAAAGCATACTAGATGCTAAACATGATGTGCGATGAAATCGAGAACATGTAAGAAGGTAAGTGATGAGAATCAATGATACCATTTCGAGTTCTTGGGCCATCAAGATACAAGGTCTACACCATGTTGCATAAAAATCAAAAATCAGCGGCACCTTCCTCTCTCCTTTCACAAACTCCTGAAGTTCTTCAGCTGACAATTTCCTATGTCAAAACAATAAAGAAAGCAAAAGCACCCAGCGAACAGTGAGGTTCCCACTTGATGTTTTCAAAAGTCATTCATAAAATCTAAATGAAGCAATCTTAATTCCAACCGGATTATGGGCACAATGTATAGAAGAATATTGTCTACAACCAACTGAATTCCCAAAACTAAAAGGAGAATTGTAAAACAAAATCAAACTTAAAAACTTCGAAATCGATAAGACAACATGGAGAGATGGAGAGAGAGAAGGCGAGAAATCTTGTGAAATTGTCCATACCACAAGATAATCTTCTCTAACAAACTTTCCGCGTGGCGGAGGGCAGAGAAGCTTTCAAAAAAAAAAACTTCACATTTCAAGATTCAAGTGAATATAAGGGATTACTAGTTCCAAGAGCATATGTTAGTAAACAATAAAAGCATACTAGATGCTAAACATGAAGCGCGATGAAATCGAGAACATGTAAGAAGGTAAGTGATGAGAATCAATGATACCATTTCGAGTTCTTGGGCCATCAAGATACAAGGTCCATACCATGTTGCATAAAAATCGACAATCAGCGGCACCTTCTTCTCTCCTTTCACCAACTTCTGAAGTTCTTGAGCTGACAATTTCCTCTGTCAAAACAATAAAGAAAGCAAAAGCACCCAGCGAACAGTGAGGTTCTCACTTGATGTTTTCAAATGTCATTCATAAAATCTAAATGAAGCAATCTTAATTCCAACCAGATTCTGGGCATAATGTATAGAAGAATATTGTCTACAACCAACTAAATTCCCAAAACTAAAAGGAGAATCGTAAACAAAATCAAACTTAAAAACTTCGAAATCGATAAGACAACATGGAGAGATGGAGAGAGGGAAGGCGAGAAATCTTGTGAAATTGTCCGTACCACAAGATAATCTTCTGTAACAAACTTTCCGCGTGGCGGAGGGCAGAGAAGCTTTCAAAAAAAAAACTTCACATTTCAATATTCAAGTGAATATAAAGGATTATTAGTTCCAAGAGCATATGTTAGTAAACAATAAAAGCATACTAGATGCTAAACATGAAGCGCGATGAAATCGAGAACATGTAAGAAGGTAAGTGATGAGAATCAATGATACCATTTCGAGTTCTTGGGCCATCAAGATACAAGTTTCACACCATGTTGCATAAAATTCGACAATCAGCGGCACCTTCCTCTCTCCTTTCACCAACTCCTGAAGTTCTTGAGCTGACAATTTCCTTTGTCTAAACAATAAAGAAAGCAAAAGCACCCAGCGAACAGTGAGGTGCCCACTTGATGTTTTCAAAAGTCATTCATAAAATCTAAATGAAGCAATCTTAATTCCAACCAGATTCTGGGTATAATGTACGGATGAATATTGTCTACAACCAAGTGAATTCCCAAAACTAAAAGGAGAATCGTACAACAAAATCAAACTTAAAAACTGCAAAATTGATAAGACAACATGGAGAGATGGAGAGAGAGAAGGTGAGAAATCATGTGAAATTGTTTGTACCACCAGATAATCTTCTCTAACAAACTTTCCGCAAGGCGTAGGGCAGAGAAGCTTCTGCGGACGCGTCAATGGCGGCGAGAAGGGTGAGCTCACGGCGGTGGAGGTGGAAAATGGTGAGGATACCAGGCGGATTTCTCTCCGGTGTCGACTCAAATCAGAATTTAGCGAGGAATCGCATATGTTTTCGCCGGCGAGAGAGAAAGAGGAAGAGAGAGAGAGACAAAAGAAAAACAAATAGCAGATTTTTTTTTCATTTCCATGTGTTAATTTTTTTTCGTCCACTCCCAACTTGTCACATGTGCGTTCTTAACATAAAAAATGTTTTAATTTAGACACTGGTCTAAAACATAAAGTATTATTCACCATTTTTTATTTAATTTTATTATTAAAAATAATTAGTTAGACATCTAAATATCACCACTGGGATTGGTCATACTGACATTATAAATTACATTGGCGGATTGACTTGTTATTTTTCAGCGTATATGGATGAATCTATACTATTAAAAGAAGATCCTATATTTAAATTAACCTTTAGTTACTGTGTTATTTACAATATATGCCATTAAGTTCTATAGATTCATTAAAGATAATTTAGTTTTATCATTAAACTGTTAACAAAAACATTAAATTAAATTAAATTATATTAGTTTGTTAACAGATAATACCAATAAATTATGTCTGATATTAATAAAATTCAAATTATTTCAAATTTGAAATTATTTTAAAAAAATTTCGTAATATCTTAACATGACTACCACATATATATGGCATAAATAACTAATATAATTATATATATTATATGATAGATTAAATATATCTTATATTATAATCAATTTTTTCTCTATGGTATAAAAAGAAAAAAGCACTATTTTAAAATGTCTAAAAATTATTATGATATTAATAAATATGACAATTTATAGTCAATGATGAATATATAATCATTATTTTTTGGTTACATATATACATACTGTGAAAAACATATTATGTAAATAATTTAGTTTTTCTGGTTTGTTAATGATTTTTTTGCTGAAAATTATGAGTTTGCGGATTTGACAAACACAATTTTGTAGATTTTAAGGATTTTACAAATTTTAGCGGATTTTATAAATTTTAGCAGAAGATATAGTTTTCCGGAAAAATGTCGGTTTGACAACAAATGTGCTTTTGTAGATTTAGCAGAAACACATACTTTTTGAAATTTGGTCGTAAATAACAATTTTGCAGATTTTACGGGATTTACGGGAAAACATGGGTTTACTAAATGCGAATAACGCAATTTTACGAATTTTATGGATTTTATAGGTTTTAGCGAGAAAATATAGTCATATAGGAAAATGCGGGTTTGTGAGCCTCGCAGAAACACATGAGTTTAAAAATTTGGTCGTAAACACACAATTTTATGAATTTCACAATATTACGGAAAAACACAGGTTTTTGTGGATTTGACGTAAAACCTGATTTTCCGGATTTTACGAGGTTTACATGTTTTTGCGGGTTTTATAGGGTTTGATGGAAAAATGTGGTTTTACGAATTTTATTGAAAATGCAGATTTGCGGGTTTGATGACAAAATGCAATTTTGCAGGTTTGACAAAAGCTACGTAATTTTAGAAATTCAGCCATAGAATACGATTTTATAGTGTTAAGAGAAAACATAATTTGGTTTTGTTAAAAATTTGGGTTTACAGTTTTGGCAGGAAAATACGGTTTGATGGAAAATGCTATTTTTATAGTTTCTACCAGAATTTTTGGTTTTGGTACAATATCGTTATTTTACGATTTTATGGTTTTTTATTTCGATAGAAAAAAAAATGGTTCTGACAAAAAAAAAGTTGATTTTGTGGTTTAAATTAAAAGATGTTTTTATCTGTTAATTTCTGAGATTCAAATGCTGCATTAAATCTCTATTTTTTAGCATTTTAAATATCCAAATTTTGAGATGTTATAGAATTTGTATTCAGATAAAATATCCATTGATTTAAAATTATTTAAAAGAAAAATATATGAGAGCATTTGCATCCAAATAAGTATCTGCAGGCAAAAACAAACAAAGCCTAAGAATCTTAATTACAAACAAATAAAATCTCTCTTGCATTATAAAACATAATATTTTAAAATATTTGTTACAAAACTTAACAAAAAATCTACTAATCAAAATATTTTTTTTATAAAATCAAGCCTGAATAATTTTAAGAACATAAAATTGTAATTTTAAAATAGTTTATATAATCTAATAAAAAAATTCTGTTTGGACCATAATTTTAGATTTAATAATATAAGCTATTTTTTGAATAAAAATTTACTATAAACCGATTTTTACTATGATCCAAAAATATTTTATAAACGCGGGTCCAAAATCTAGTTTGTGATGATTAAAAAACCCTTTTTTCTTAATTTCGTGTAATTTAAATTAATAGACGGGTGATCTGCCAAAAAGTTTTAGATCTTTTTTTATAAAATAAAGCTTATGTTATTCATTTTTTAGTAAATTATATAATGATTAATCGAGATTTAAATTCATTAAAAACATGTAGTAGGTTCTTCGATTCATTTCTACTCCTCAAATTACTATTGTACCCCACATTTGTTAATCATTATAAAAAAAAAGCCAATTCCACAAATACCAAATCATATCTATCTCTAGCTAACTTTACAAAAAAAATTCACACTGAACAAAAAAAAGAGTTGGGAACAAAATGGAAGAAAATAACACAAAGTTACTAGATGAAGAAGCTAAAGCTTCTCTAGACATATGGAGGAGATATGTCTTCGGGTTTGCAGATGCCGCAGCTGCAAAGTGTGCCATTGATCTTAAAATACCAGAAGCCATTGAAAACCATCCGTCGTCACAGCCCGTGACTCTAGCCGAGCTCTCGTCCGCCGTCTCTGCCTCTCAGTCACATCTCCACCGTATAATGAGGTTTCTTGTGCACCAAGGACTCTTCCAAGAAGTCCCCACAAAGGATGGTCTAGCCACAGGCTACACTAACACGCCACTCTCTCGCCGTATGATGATCACAAAACGTGACAACAAATCTCTGGCTCCTTTGATTCTCCTCGAAACAAGTCGAGAGATGCTCGCTCCATGGTTGAAACTGAGCTCAGTTGTCTCTTCGCCGGTCAACGGTTCGCTTCCACCGTTCGATGCTGTGCACGGAAAGGAGTTGTGGTCGTTCGCACATGATAATCCGCGCCACAGTGAGCTGATCAATGAGGCCATGGCTTGTGATGCAAGGCGCGTGGTGCCACGTGTATCCCGAGCTTGTCACGGCTTGTTTAACGGCGTAGCTACGGTGGTGGATGTTGGAGGAGGTAACGGAGAGACGATGGGAATATTGGTTAAGGAGTTTCCTTGGATCAAAGGATTCAACTTTGATCTTCCTCACGTTGTTGAAGTTGCTCAAGTCTTTGACGGTGTTGAGAATGTCGGAGGCGATATGTTTGATTCTATTCCTGCATGCGACGCCGTTTTCATCAAGGTTATTTTCACTTCCATCTATCAAAATCTTGATCAGCTATTAGTCCCTCTGTTTCATAATAAGTGTCATTTGGAGAAAATGTATCTGCAATGTATCTGGATGTATTAAACTCAAAACACATCCAGATACATTCAGTTACAATGCAGATACATTTTCTCCGAATGACAGATACATTTTCTCCGAATGACACTTATTATGAAATGGAGGGAGTAGTAATTTAGTATTCAGTAAAATCATTAATACTGATTTTAGAAAACCTTTCGTTAAATCAAACTTTCACATATAAACTAATAAAAGAAAATTAAAATGAATATATATATGTAACAACAAACATTCTTTTAAGTGAATACGTATATTAAGGTTTGAATTATCATTCCTTTGATTGTTTAAGAAGCCTCATACTAACCTATACATTATGTTTATATATATGTTAATTATATAGTACGTTGGTGTTTAACTACAATATATATTTGTTAGTCGTAGCTAGTCGTCATTGCCTTTCGTTTTAAAAATAATAAATAGCATGCGTTTGAACTTAGAGTCAAAATTAGAAGTTCAAGAACAACCGATTAAGTATTAGCTTAATTAGGTTCGCAGTCAGTGACTCACTATGCTCAATAAATTTTGTTTTTGCATCATGCTCGATGATTAAGTTATATATATATAAAGAAAATTCTGAACTATTATTTATTAGTTTTTTTTCTTTTCTTAGGTTTTATTTTTCTTAGTTGTTATCTTGGAGCTGTCTGTGTAGCGTTAACTTATTTAACTTAATAAGTAATAAGACATGTAAAATTTAGAACCCACTCATAAAAAACAAGAATGTTTTCGATTTTATAGCAGTAAAAAGGTTCGATGTTCAAAAGCACACAAAAAAAAATATATAATTTGGATTTTTTTTTGGTCGGCAAATAGGATATTTACAAAAGTGAGTTGAAATTTTAGGATTTATTTCCTACCATCTTCTCGCACAAAAATAAAAGGAAAATGAGTAGACATATCATGTGACCAACCAAGCGAATCATTTGAGTTTTTATGAAAAACAAATTTGTGTGCAATGATGACAGTGGGTGTTACATGATTGGGGAGACAAAGACTGCATAAAAATATTGACGAACTGTAAAGAGGCGCTCCCGCAACAAAATGGAAAAGTATTAATAGTGGAATCTGTGATCAGAGAGAAGAAAAAAGCGATGATAATGGAAGAGAGAGATGAGAAATTAGAGTACGTGAGATTGGCGCTTGATATGGTGATGATGGTTCACACAAGCACAGGCAAAGAAAGAACTTTGAAAGAATGGGACTTTGTCATTAAAGAAGCTGGCTTTGCTCGATACGAGGTGAAGGACATCGATGATGTTCAGAGTGTTATCATTTTGTATCGTTCCTAAAAGAAAGAGATATAGAGAAGTGTCGAACGCAAGATGAGGAAGATCTCAAGAAAGATAAAAACTATTTGAGAAAAACCAATAAATTTGTGAATTTGTGTGAAATTATACCTAAGTGAGAATGGTTGTATGGTGTGAAAAAATTCATGGCTTGTTTTACCAGTCGCGTTGTATTGTGTTTGTCATTTGTATGCTTTTCACTTGTTTGTTATGTGTTGTTGAATGTTGATTGTTTGTCGACAGTTGAATTGGTATTATTTAGTAGTATTTTTTTTTTTGAAAGAGGTTTTTATCTGGGTATTTTTGTTGTTATAAACTCTATATGATACTCATACATGATACATGCATGTCAATGATCTCGTGAATTCGTTATACTCGTAAATTCGCTACAAACAAAAAAAAATTATAATCGTTCTTATTATCTAAACCGCAAATTAATAAATTATTATCATTATTGCTTTGGAAAGATGCTAATACAATACTAGTATGAAGCCAAAACTTAGTTACAGGGGAAGTCAAATTTGGAAGAAAACAATAATTATGATTTAAAGTGTAAAACGAATATATATTCAGAACAGAGTAATAATCAAAGGGATTGGATCTTAAGAAAATACGTTGGAATAAACATTGTACGGTATTGATTTATGGTTTAATGAAAACTTACTACAGATGAGAATTTGGAGTTGAGATTCGAGACAGTGTATAATGATTTGGGAGAATCCAACATGGTCGGCTTGATGGGAATTTGGGTCGGATTCATGACTTTTGAGGCATGTGATTTGGTAATCTGTGTAGCTACACTCGTTCTTCATCAACTCATCGTCAGCTCCATTCGATATCACTAGAAGTGATAATACCATAAGCATCATGGATTCATGGGATATTTCCTCTTCTTATAATGTGATTTTTTAGTCTATCAGTTTTCTAATGAAATAATATTATTTTATAAATACTTATTGATCAACTAAATTGGAAATTATTGAGTTATTAATAAATTTCTGCTTTTTGATAGATGGTTGAAATCAATCTTAAGTAAAACTGAAAAAAAAAATTAGATTATCTCTCCACCTACAAATGGATGCTTTTAGTTCATTCTAAAAGCATTACAATCATCACAACACAATTAAAGTAAAGTTTATAGGCAAGAAGAAAGAAACATGAATGTCCAATCTCAAAAAATAAGACTTTTCATTTTCCACAACAATAGCATAAAGTAATTCGATAAACCTCTTTATAATTTTATTATAAAATTTAATTTATAGATGTTTAAAAAGTCTTAAAGTCTATGTAATGTATATATTATATGGTTCTATACCACATGTAAAATATACATTACATGAATCTTAAGACTTTAAAGTTTAAACATCTATAAAATAGGTTTATCGAATTACCTTTTGAAAATAAAAATAAAAAAAAAAAAAAAAAATTTGAGATTGGACTTTCAGATTTCTCTCTTTGCCTATAAATTTGACTTTTATTGTGTTGCGATTATTGTGAATAACACATTGCTGTAACAAAAGTGTCAGCATCTTGTATCCTTGCTTCAGTTCTCGTTGGCCGCGGATCAGGTCCGTATCCAATTCCAACCGGTTGCGACGGCGGCGCCATGTAACCCTACGGGGGTCTATAACCTTGCTGATACGGTGGAGCCTAAGACGTTAGCGCCTGATGGTAAACCTGACCGGAAATAACCGGCGGTAACCCATTGAACCGGTACGAGAAAGTCAAAGAACCTTTCATTCTCTCCGCCGGAGTTCTCACCTGATACGTTACGAAAGTCATCCCATGGCCATTACCGTTACCGCTAGTTGACGGCAATAGGTTAACTAACGGAACCTCGACCTTACCAATATCTTTATCGCCTAGGAGTCGACTGGAGAACAAGTTCACGACAAGTGTCAAACGACCTTCACGGACTGATTTCTCGTCGACGGAAAACATAACAGCGTGGTTCCAGTTAGGGTTAGATCCGCCAAAGCGATCGACGGGAGTTTTCACCATCTGTATATTTTTGTCGCCCAAAAGGTTTATGACGGCGTAAACTTCCATCTTTGTGATGTGGTTGACATTCTTAAGGTCACTTGCGGAGTTGATGCTAAGCTCTAAGGTTGGATTCGTCATGGTTGCCACGGGAAAGCAATGTAACGTAACGATACGCTTATATTATAAAAGTATGGTAGATGAAAGCTGTGATGAATTGTTTGAAAGCAAACATGAGGCTTCAGTTTATAATGAGTGAATATGCAAAGGTGTAACAGTGAGATGTTTTACGTTGAAATAAATAAAACACGTAGACTATAATTGAAAAACAACCAAAAAGAGGAAGAACATAATGTGTGAATCGAAAAAGGATGCAAAAAAGTATAAAACCCAATACTTTATATTAAGAAATAAGAAAATTAGGAAAGATAGATTTGGATGCATGTACAAATACAACGTATAACAAACATGCTACGTGAATGGTAGTGAGGTCAGCTGCCCCCTATAATTAATATTTGCCAGATCTTGTTGTAATTATCGTAAATTTTATTAAATGCCCCCCGTCAAATCTGTTGTTTGCCCCAATTTATATTTTCGTTAAAAAACTTCTTTCTTTTTCCTGTTTAAATTCGTTTACAGTAAAACCTTTACTCCCTCTGTTTCAGAAAGAGTATCATTTTGATACTTTTCACACAGATTAAGAAACTTAATAAAAAATCTTTTATGTCCTTCATAAATACATTACACATTTTTTTCTTTTTAATTAATACACTAAAATAACAAGGTTAAAATTGGATTTTTAATTAAAAATTTGCATTGAAAATACAAAACGACACTTTTTGTGAAACAAAAATAAAACTCTAAAACGACACTCTTTATGAAACGGAGGGAGTATAAATTAATAATGTTGGGACTTCAAAAATTTATTAATTTATAGAATTATTAACTAATCGATAAATTAATAATTATTAACTTATCGAGAAATTAATATTTTATTAATTTATAGAGAGATATTTCAGTTTAAATTCAAAATATTTATCAAAAAACAAAAAAAAAATGTTTTCAACAATATAAAATTTATTCAGAAAATATCATATCAGTGAATTTGAAAAATAAGTCAAACAATTTTTATAAACTTGAAATAATAATATAATTATATTTTACTAGATTATATTATTTATATATACTTAAATGTATAATTATTAATTTATCTAATTATTGGGACTATATTTTTACATAGGAGTTTCAAAAAAATTATTATCTTATTATCTTATCGAAATTTGCTAATTTTTACACTGGTCCGACTTGTGACTGACAAAAATTATTAATTTATATCGATTATTAATTTATTGAGTATTAATTTATAGAGGTTATACTGTAATTAAAAATCAAAACACAATTTACAATCATAATTATAATAATCTCAATAAATGGAAAAAATATTATATCTACGTTCCTCAGATCAGTTTTTGAAATTATGTTGGTTATTTATTCTTTTAGAAAAAAATCTATCTCTACGTTCCTCAAAACTTAACTATTATTTGAAAAGCATGTTTAATGAAAAAATCTAAAGTGTCAACACTTTAACAAAAGTTAGTGCAAAACAATGCACCTCATAAATGTGATGGCAAATTTCTTAAAATAAACAAAATATTTTAATTGATTAAATTAAAACTAAATAAATTTTATTTTTAAATAAAAAAAATTATGTCATATATGAATGAATTCTCATTATATAGCAAGAATTCATAATTATAAATAAAATAAAAAATAAACAGATAGAAAAATAAATTATAAGTATTCTGCTAGCTAACTTTTTATTATAATATTGTATATATAAATAAAAAGTAGAAGTAAAAGTAAAAGTGAATCTTTACGACTTTAGTTTTATGTAAAAATGTCAGACTATATTTTTAGTTTAATGAAGGAAGAATGGTCACTCATCAAGTATGGATACGAAGTTTTCTTATACACCATTCTCCCAACATAAAAGCGTCCAGGTTCATCCCCCTCCATCAAGTCAAACAAATCCCTACAAATCAGGCCAAGATAAGAATGAATTCAATACATTGTTTGACTAACTTTCTTTGTTTTTGTTCTTGATTTTCTTGCATTTACTCTTAATTTCGAATTTCCATTAGATAAGGCAATTGTTAGCCATTTTTAATCCCTTTAATTTAGCTACATTTATTGTAATCTGTTTCAAGACCCCTAGAAGGTCATAGCTGTTTGGACAATATATAAAGTCCCCTCACGTCCTTGTATTTTTCACACAATCACTAAACAACCAAGCATTTTCTCAAAGAGTTCCCCCTTATTCAGTTTTTCTAGGCATTTGTGATTTCTGCCCAGATTAACTTGTCTTATCATTGCTTTTACCATCAGGTTTTGTGGCGACCATCGATCCATCCTTCTATTCATCATCATCCCACCAGCCTTCTAAATGAGTGACTTTAGTCCTTTGAACAGGCGCCATCTTTCCGCTTCGACCACATTCCATCTGAGCAGCTGAAAAAGAGTGATTTAAGTCCAGCTTTCAGCCTCCATCATTTCCCAAGCGAGCCTCAGCCTTTGAGCATCGTATCATTTGGTATCAGAACTTAAAGCTCCCAAACCCAGGTTTTTTCTATCCTTTTATCTTTGCATTTTCGTTTGTGTTCTTCATTTCTTTCCAGAAAAACAAAAAAAAAATCAGATCATCTAGCTTATGTTTTGAATTGCATCCATAACTGAGTTAAAAATAAATAAAATAAAAATAAAAAAAAATTCAAACTTGTTCTTATTGTTCTTTGTTCTTGATTAAAAAAAAAATACAAGGCTGTGAGGGGACTTTATATAGAGTCCAAACAGCTATGCCCTTTTAGAGGTCTTGAAACAGATTACAATAAATGTAGCTAAATTAAAGGGATTGAAAATGGCTAACAATTGTCTTATCTAATTGAAATTTGAAATTAAGAGTAAATGCAAGAATATCAAGACAAAAACAAAAAAAGTTAGTCAAACAATGTAACGAATTCATTCTTACCATGGCCTGATTTGTAGGGATTTGTTTGACTTGATGGATGAGGATGAACCTGGACGCTTTTAGGTTGGGAGAATGGTGAATAAGGAAACTTCATGTCCATACTTGATGAGTGGCCATTCTTCCATGTATTTTCTTTGACCGTCCTTCATGAAATAATCCTCCTCTTGATACGGTTTTGTTTGCATCTCCCAGCTTCATTGGTTTGTAAGCATTACGGTTTGACCTTGATCTTTGGAGATAGTTAACTTCGTCAGCTGCTTGGTTATATCTTTAACCTCTTGATCAGCAAGTAA